TATCTATCTATCTATCTATCTATCTATCTATCTATCTATCTATCTATCTATCTATCTATCTATCTATCAATCAATCATATTTATATGGCCACCTATCTCACAAGATATGATTCTGGGGGGCATACAATAAAAAACCATAAAATAACAGTATCAAAAACTTTCCACAATTAAAAAACAGTAGTATTATTATTAAAAGGCTAGGAGAGAGCATTAGATGCTAATGCAGCCACCTCATTAAATTGCCATTAGACTTTTAGACTTTCTGCCAGCATAAAAAAAAATTGTAAATGGTGGCCAAGGCCAGGATTTATAGTGGATATGGCTATTATGAGAACAGTTTAAATTCCATACAGTTGGCCATTTTGGCAAAGACTGGTGATAGCTGTAGCTTAGCAACATACTGCATACCCATACTACAGCCATACATTCACAGCTAGAATGCATTGCTTAAGTACATCCATGCAGCAGTGCACACAACTGAAATCAGATGCAAAAGACTGATTGTAGCCACAGTGCCTGGATGTAAATTGAAAATGATAATAAGAAAAGAAGGAAAATTACCACCACAACAGCATATATTTGTAGATTTCCTAGTAAATATGGAAGTATTGGCAGTTTCTACCTACTTTTATTCCCTTCTGAATTAATGGACATTCCATTAATGGGAAAGGAAAGGAAGACACATTTCAATGTTTTTTCCAACTTCTTTGCACTCTTACTTTTTTTATATCCAGCATGAACAAGTGACAAATTTATTTAAAACCAAAACCATACCCTGAATTACTTTGGATAAATAATCAGTCCATGGCAAAGGAAAGCAAGGAGTGGGCCTCTACCGAATGTACATAAAGTTTCTATGTAAACTGGCAGAGATACCTCCTTTGGCCATCCTTATGGTTTTCCATTAGTTTTAATTCTCCAGGAGAAAAAAGAATTAAAAGGGTTCAGTAGCACATATTAAAACAGAAGAATCATGAGCAGCAATGATAAATAAACAAGTCTTCCTTTACATATGCAGGGCTGAAGAAAAACTAGCAAACAGGTCAAACCAACAAAATGCACCTCATTTATATCATAGAATATCAGGTTGGAAGGAATCTTAGAGGTCATCTAGGCCCATACCCTACCCAGTGCATGAATCTATTACTAGCATCTCTGACAGATGGCCATCCAGCCTGTGTAAGCACCTGTTTACACAACAATACACAACACACATACACACACACAAGTTTCATAGGCCAACCATAATGGAGTCTTTTTTGCATTTTTAACACTGAAGTGTCCAAGTCCATGAATAAAATGGCACAAGAAAACTGCAACAATTCATAGAATGCAGGAATGAACAGTAACAGACTCCAAAGCCAA